TTTTGTATATTTGGCGGCTTCGCCACAAAGCGATTTCCATTACACTCTGTTTTCAAACACCCATCTAAAGATCGACTCGTAAGAGGAAGTTGTTGCCATACAAAGCGCCATTTGTTTTTGTTGTTTTACGATTTAGTTTTGGGATTGAAACTATTTCCAGTTATTACAGCATGAATCTCGCGTTGACGAGGTGATTGGGTTTGCTCTCCATACACACGGCTGCACTATGTAGGCTGTAGGCTACAGCTAAGATGTATCCAACTCCTCTTACCTTAAGAGTAAAAAAAAATAAAAACTGGAAATCAGAGCAATGCCATCATCTTCATTATCATGAAAAGTCGAACAACCGACCGACCAACCTACCAGCCGCTTCCACTTGAGCCGAGGAGTTATGCATTCACCGGCATTGCTCAATGACAAATGGTTTGGAAACCACATACAACAACAACAAAACGCAATTATTAGAGATAGTAACTGAATTCGTTCAAAATGAATTTTAATAATGAAAGTAAAATAAAAAAATATGAAGATGATGATGATGATTACCAAAGACACATACGTCGCAGATGGACATCTAACATTAAAAATAATTTTTATCATTTCATTGGAATTATAATATTTTTTTCTGTTTTGGGATAGAACACAAATAATTCTTCGAATAAGATTTCCATCGGTTTTGTTATTATTGTAGTGTAGTCCATAATTTAATGCAAAAGTAATGAAATATAAATACCAAAACAGATCCTTAATACTAATAATCACATATTGCTAAATGAGACCTACGCTATTTTGAATGTTATTCGAAGTTAGAATCACTAAATGCAAAAGTACTTTATTTGAGAAGTACTTTACATTTGAGAAAATATTTAAAAAATCGAATTTTATTTGTAATTGTAATTGTGTGTACAAATTATTTCATATGTTATTTTGGCGGGGCCAATATTATATAACTTCATACTTAGGTTTCAAAAGTCGAATAGATAATATAATCCAATGAATACAAATTTATTAATTCGATTTTTGGAACATCAAATGGATTTTTTTAATATAAGTTTAACCCTTTCAGTGTTTTTGTCGAATATATTCGACATTTAAAATTACTCTCTTCCTTTGCAATTATTCGGCTATCCGTTTCAATTGATGTCTTTGTTTTTGCTGAAAGACAGACAAAACTGTCCGAGGGTTAAAATAAGAATTGCCTTTTTTCTAAACCCTGTGCCTTCATATGATTTTAAGTACAATATTTTAGATTTTTATTCCGACAAAAAAATTTTTTTTCTTGACACTGAAAGGGTTAAAAATACAGTAGTTTTGACTTACCTGCACAACCAACAATTGCAATTATTTGTGTGCAGAAAAGTCAAAACGTGCACTTAAGTTAAATCACTGCATAAAAATATGACAATGTTAAATTTTCTGTAATACGCGATCAACGATAAATATATAATAATGAAGCAGAAGGACTATTGTTATTTAGCGCATATATTTATTCCATTAAAAACTAAAGTCCTTGTGCTTCCGACGAAATGTAAAAAAATAACCATTGTTTTTTTTAATTTGATATTTACTGTGCGGCTAAATGCATATATGTTAAGTAATGAGAGGAAAAAAGTGCAAATATTCTAAACACAAGTCATATCTGCACATTGAAGATAACAGTGTGCAGGAATGAATTGTGCGCTTAAAGGAAATATTTATGAGAGAATCTTATGGCATTTTAATTATAAAACCAGTGAGCGGAGCAGTATAGTCGGACGGGCCCGACTATACGATACCCTACACAATTACCACGAAACTCTAACGTTCTGCGGATGTTTATTCCGAGCCTGTGCAATATTTCGTGATATTTGCTCCCTCTAGCCCGATTAAAGGTCAACAGCACCTCTTCCTTACACTGACATATTTTCCGAATATTACTATTCATATTCAGTATTCATATTCAGTGTGATGTTCGGCCTATTATTGACATCGACCCAAGGTCTATGTCCTTCAGGGATAAATATATACGCTATAAAATGCAAATTTTGTAATTTTTCACACAAAAGTCAGGGTCTATTTGGCCAGCCAAATATTGGCCGATTTTTATAAAAACAGGCATGCTTATTCTTTGGGCCGATCCCCTTCTCCATGTAAAAATTTGCGATGTTTGGACCATAATTGCAGCGTCTAGAGCGACAAGAAAATCAGTCAAAAATAAAGTTTTTGGTTCATTTCACCCCCTAAATATTACCTGATCTCTCATTGGCCAGAATCCATCCTACATGCAAAATTTCGTGAAGATTGGTCTATAATTGTGGCCTGTGGACGGACACAAATGTCTAGATCGACTCAGCTAGTCGAGATATGACGATCGGTATACTTAACGATTCGCGGCGTTACAAACTTTTGGGACTGCACAAAGCTATAATACCCTGACAACATAGTTGTGTAGGGTATAAAAACAAGTGGGTACTTTTGACTGTGACTCTCAGTATGTACATTTCTAGTTAATTTTTGAATACCCTCCAACATAGTATGGATTGTGATCTACAGAAATCGATATTTAAAAGAAGCTTTTAAAATTGTTCTCTTACTCTTAGGATATTTAGTAATGAAAATAAGATATATCAATCGGCGTTTTTATATAGGTCTCCAAAGAACCACCTTATTTTCCAATTGAAGGCGTTGTAGTTTGGGTACTTCAAGGTTAAACAAATATTTGCCACTGTTTTTTAATTTTTCAAAAGTTGAAGGTTTGCCACTGTCTTTCGCGTAGTTCTATATATTCCTTTGTAACCAGTTGATCTCTTACCATACTCACACGAGTTATGTAGAATGTGGAACGTTTTTCTTCAACGTTTTGACTATTTGACACTATTTTTTGGTAAGCACCTGGTATTTCTCCCAATTATAAAATATTTCTCCCAATTATTAAATATTATATAAATTAAATAATAAATTCAATATCTCACATAATATTTTAAATGCGCAATATTATTAAAAACGTTGTGTATACCTACGGATTTAATTGGTGGGATTTACTCTTGAATTATTTTAAATCAAGTAAAAAAGTTGGTATGTTCCCGTACTGCAAGAATCTACTCGATTTTACTATTTTCTTCGATGTCATAAAGGAAATTTCGTTATCGTAGTAAAAAGTTGTACATTCTTGCAGTACGGGAACAGTGCCTGTCGGTGTTGCCGACAGATATATACCCTCAGCCTATAATTTGAGTAGGTCTATGGAATTACACAGGTTTTATTATTCGCTATGTAAGGTATAAGTTGTATCAAAGACCTGAACAACTGCCCTATAGAAGCCATCTTCGCAAACAATGAATTGAATCGGTTCGTTTCAAATTAAATTTGCATGTGTTTACAATTTTGATTATTTTTGGCGGAGGAGTAGAAGTTATACAATTAATTTTCAGCAAAATGATTTAAGTTTGGAAGAAATATTACGATGTGCAAAATATGAATGTAATCGGTTACTCCCTTTGAGATTTATCGTGCACACTAGCCAGGCGGTCATTTCTAAATCGACTCCAAATTGTCTGAAACGGATTTGGTACAAAACATGGGGTCTAAAACCAATATTTCAATAAAGCACATTTTTACCGTTTCAAAGCCTATATACCCTCATTACCCATAAGACAGTGGGTATAACAATTATATAGATTTCACTAATGTGCTCTTAACTGTAGGATATGTTGCAAAACCGTTAATTAAAAACATAAATTTTCTCAAATGTCCCGTTTATCTTAACAGCATCAAAATAGATTATTTATAAAGCAAATTCTTCATAAAAGAGCATGGAAAAGGCCGATGTATTTCTCGGCAAGTTTCTAAAAAATATTACTGGAATTATTTTAAAAAGAGTACAAATGTATGTACAAATTGTTAAATATTTCTTATCCCAAAATAAAAATTAAATTGTATTTCGTATCATAGATGACATTTAAATAGGGCGTATCCTTTTTCTCGCTCTCCCATAGACAGAAAAGTCAAATACATTTCAATTGATTTGACGTAACAAATACCCCGAAATGGTATTTAAATTTTCCGATCAGCGATAAGAGTTTAAATGAGAACACACAATTCCTAATTATCCAAATGCGATGAAATCTCTCTGAAATCCAATGGCTGAGTGAGAGAGATGAAAAGTAGAATTAAGAAGAATTAGACAGCTGTTGCCACAACAAAATAACAACGGCAGCAGCAATAGCGGAAACATCCTTTTTTCCCACTGATTGCAGCAAGAGATTGTTTATTGCAAAGGACTGGATGAATGGACGGACGGACTGGCATATAATTGTTCTAATCTGAAGTGGTCCCAATTTGTTGGTGGTTAGGTTAAATGAAAACAAATAGATTTCTTTTTTGTTTTTGCTTATCAAATTTTATTTTTATTCTTTTTTGTATTATTTATTTAATGACTATTTTGTTTTTCTTGCTTCAGCATCTGTGAGAAAATATATGTATATATATGTATTTATATATATGTCTATGTCTATATATATAACTAAATGTAAGTATATATCTATGTGTGTATGGGGCTTGGTTTTATGTAAATATTTACAATAACAATTACATTTTAGAAAATTTCCAATGGCTTAGTCTAGATTGATTGGCAGATCGTTGGAACGAATGATTGAATGAACTAGCTTAGAATTAGGAGTTACTTAATGTTAGCTATTTAGGCACAATTTGTTGTTGTTGTTTCTTATGTTATTAATATATAAATTTTATTACATGTTTTTTTTATAAAAATTACTATAAAAATATGTTTTTGTTGTTGTTTTAGTTATTATATTTGTTTTAAATTCATGAGAGGTACAATCGATCGACTACGAGTACTGTAGTTTTAGGTAGTGGCGAATGTTTGTTTTTCTTTCGATAACTATAATTAATAATAATAATAAAAATAAAACAAAAAAATGACTAAGTTTTCTTCTTCTACTTTTTCGTTTGTTAATCTTAAACCATGCTATTCTAAATAATAAATAATTTAAAAATTTGTATAATTAATAAAAAAACAGAAAAATAAAAATTAATAATAATTATTGCTTAATGTTTTACATTGTATGCTGCGCATGTGGATGTGTGTGCATGTGATGCGCCGTCGCAGTTTGTTGCATCAAATGATTGGCAGCATGATGACCCCACATGGAAATGTTCTGCGGTGGCAATTCAGCAGCTTTGTGTTTCAGGGAGGCTGGTTCTTCGATCTCACCGCGTTTCGATTTGTAGCGACGATTTTGAAACCAAATTTTCACCTGTGTCGGTGAGAGATTTAATTTTTGGGCGATGGCTTCTCGCTCAGCCCCGGTGAGGTATTTTTTCATACGGAATCTACACTCCAGCTCTAATACTTGGGCCTGTGAGAACAATACACGTGGCTTACGTTTCGATCGTGGTTTACCATTTTTACGTAGTTCCGATTTGGATGATGTCACTTGTGATATATCTTCTGAAAGGAAACAAAGGAGAGGGGGAAGGTAAATAATTAGTAAAAATTTCGTAAATTTAAAAATAGGAATAAAAGGGCCTAAATTTTTAGGGACTGATTTAAACGAAAGATTGCTAGGGTGGTTCCTCTAGATAATTTTTTTTCTTTGTATCGTCTGTGATAATCCGAACATAATTTTAGTATTTTGAGAACAAAGGTTAATAGTATTGAAATAGCGTTTTATACTCAATAAGTTTATTAAAATGTTGAATATTATTTATTTGGAGACCTTAATTTCCTTAAATCTTTAGAAACATTCCTAAAAATTCTCTCATTTTTTCATACAATTCTGAAGTATAACCTTCCCCTAAATATTCGATAATATAATATCTAAAATTGTCAATTCTACTTACTTCTTTTACTCAAATCCGCCGATCTTGCAACCAACGATGCCTGCTCATACAATGGTCCCGCTGGCAAACCCGTCGAAATATTTCTCAGCGAATTCGAATTATTTGCCGTCTCCATAAGACTTTGTAGATTGGCGGGAGGTGGATTATTATTAGTGTTATTGGTATTGCCGATTGGTGACTTTTTCTGTCCCGACGAGGGGGTATTCAAATCGACTTCTGTCGAACTATTCAGATCCAAGGTTGGGGAGGGTGTTACATACGGCGTGGGTACATATTCACTCTTCACACTTGACTGGGTCAAATCGATGTGGGACATATGATGAGAGGGTAGAGTTGTTGCCACTGTACCATTTTGTGGGGCCACATGCGTTTGATAGGCATCCGTACCATAACCGTTATATTGATGATACATTGGCTGGGTACTTTGCAGTGGATAACCTGGTGGCTGATATGTTGCTGTGGGTGGAACATAGTAGGGATGAGCTGCAGCAGCAGCAGCCGCCACTGCAGCAGTATTATACCCCTGATAACCTTGATGGGCATGAGGATGGGTTGTCGGGGCGGCGTGTGTCGCATGTGTGATTAGGGGCGTTGTGTTGTAGTCCTGATAGCTGGAATAGAATTGGGCCGGTGATGGACCGCCAGCCGATGGCGGTAAGTGATGACCATGTGGCACCATGGGTGACAGCGTATGAGAAGGATCGTAGCCGCGGGTATCGTAGTCGTTAGAATATCCAGAATTGGCCTGTAAAGGGCTGTAACGAGAACACACAAAAACACAAAACAAATTTTGAGATTAGTAAACAGAATAACAGCAACAAAAGTATTACAAAATTAACTATTTTTTCACAATTTCCGTTTCCTAAGACGCCGTATGTTGTGCTAAGTGGGAAAAGGTTTTGCCCGCTGTGACCATATGTGGACCAAGCGCCCACACACACGCTACACACATTCTCCTACTCTGTACAATGAAAGTCTTGTGAAATTTGTTGTCGCCTCTGTAATTTTTTTCGGTTGGGTTTTTTTTTTTTGTAAATCGATCAATGCTTACTGTGACATCATTTCATGGTTCATTTTCAATTTAGTGAATGAATGATGTTTCGTCGACACATTTCATGAATAGCAACTGGGCGACAATGAAAGTTGGAAAAAAGTAACTATTGGAACAGAGCACTAGGCACGCACACATAAACATGATCTACTGCACACATGGTAAGCGTTTTTTTTTTCTATTTTTCGTTTTACTGTCTGACACACAGAGTACTTCCACTAACCGTCTGTACCGTTTCAGGCCGCAACAACAACCAAACTGGTCATCTCTGGCCAGAAAAAGTCGTTAACTACCTTCGCTGGTAATGTTCTGTCCGTTCAATGTTATTTCTAGTTTGATTTATCCACCCAGCCAGCCATACCATCCATTCACATGCATATGTGTGACTGTGAGGCTGCGACAGTGACAGTCCGTCCGCATGGCTGTTTGTCTGGCCAGGCCTGACTCGGCTGCTGTGGCTTTGTGTATGAGTTTGAATATTTTTTGTGTTATTATTATTTTTATTATTTTTATTTCTTCCCAAAAGATCAGCAGAAACAAAAATTATTATAATTCTCACATAATGATTTGACAAAAATGAAAAGTAAACATTCAGAAAACCCAAAACTCAGAAACAAAAAAAAATCACAAAAAAATAAACGAACGCTTTGTGGCACAAAATGATCTTGGGTTTGATGTCGTAGTCGTACGATGTTGTCGTCATTGTAAGTCTCAGTTGGTTGTTTGTATCTTTTTTTCAGTTCTCTCGCTCTCTTCTCAATCGATTCTATATATAGTGTAGTTAAATATTGATCGTGTTGTTGTTGTCATTTTCATATTTTTTTTGGAACGTCCTTTCTTCTACTCGTTAGCATGTTGTTATTGCACAGTGGGACAATGAAGGTTAATTACTGTTTAAGGGCAAAACTAAAATAATTTATTTTTATATCCGGAACAATGAGTTGTAGTGTTTGGTAAATTTGTCGCTTTGTTTGCAAAACCTTCATAATGAAAATCGGACATATTGATCCAAGTTGGAGGTTTTAATAGTATTTTCCAACCGAAGTGTCATTTAACAGAACATATTTAATGTTGGACAATAAATGTTCGAGTTATTAATATTCTTTCAAGTAGCCAGAAAGGGGTGGATTTATAAAAATATTTTTAAGGCCTGGATTTAGGCACTGTTTTTTTAATATTTTTTAAGGCCTGGATTTGAATAGGCGTAGATTTTTTTAAATATTTTTTGGATAGATGTCTTAAAAAATAATTTTAGATAAGTTCAAAGTCAACATGTGGACTTTGATTTCTATAAATATTTTTAAGCATACCTAGAGATATATTTTTGAGCCCACTGTACCCCATTTAACATATACACTTGTATGTCAGGTCAAACCCCGTACAATAACCGTATAACAGATACCCACAACAACACTATTTGTTGGTGATGGATGATGAGGTATAAAAACGAAGAGCAAGAAGAAGATGCATGTGATAGTTGGCCTGTCATCATGTTTTTATAGGATTTCTCATCATACGGGTTATTTTGAATATTTATACAAAACCCACAAAAAAGACAACAACTTATTTGTACGCAAACGTACAAATAATTCTGTTTGTCTGTCTGTACGTTTAAACGCCTGTCAGTATCTCTGTCCGTCTGACCATCTAACTACACTCCAGCTATGGTACGGTCGGTGTGTATTTTTTTCGACTAAAGTAAATATTATTTTCTTAAGAATTATTCACGTTCATCAACGGCAGCAGCAGCAGCCGTGATCTTAGTAAACGTCTGTCCAACCCTCCGAACGGGCCCAGCCAACGCTTGTCAATGGTCGATGTTAGAAAAGGCGTTATTATTATATTATTGGTAAATAATAGCGTTAGATGGACAGGCACAATGGCATGGAAAAACAAAACACAAAGACAACAAAACCACAGTCGTACGTAGAGAAGAAGATCGAAAAGAAGTAACAAGATCATCTGGATTTAGGTTCGAAACTATTGCTGTTCGGCGAGACTACGATGGTGTTACAAACTACAAACCCTACATCCACTATTGCCATAAGCTGCTGCTGCTGTTGGTTGGCTATTTGACTGTTGTTGTTGTTTTTGCTGCTGCTGGCTTACCATTGGATAAATATTAACTTTTCTACAAGATTTATAACGAAAACACCAAAAAACACAATGGTCATCTTGGTGGGATGGATGGATGCTGGATGTTGATGATGATATGATGCAGACAGATATTATGCGATGAGTTTGACCTTTTGTTTTTCCAGTTATTTCTGGGAGGTAGTTTGTTAAACGTTTATTGTTGTACATAGTCGATATGTGGATGTATGTTTGTATGTAATTATATTATACAAATGATCGTGTTGATCGTCGTCGTCCTCATCATCGTTATTATAATAATTATGACAACGATGATATGCTGATATTGTCTGCCAGTCAGACAATGGCGACTTGTCATCGTGTCCCTTATTTTAATATGGGGTTTTTGTGACGCAGAAATTTGAGTATAAATTTCCTAGAAATCTTTTGTTTTCTTTTTTTTCAACAGTAGAAGGGAGCACTTTACAAAAAGAAAAACTTAATAGATATCTATTCAGCCATTGACGGACGGACGTCAATCCGCCCATCTATACACCTAGCAAAGCATATGTTTGAAAAGTTTAATTTGTTGTAGTTGTTATTGTGGGTTTCTCACACATTGTTTTGTAACAAACAAATTGTTGTATTTCGAAGAAGAAGAATATTTATTCGCTTGCAATGACCCATGTAAATGCTTTGTATTGTTTTATTGTAAGTCCATTATAAATTTAATTGTATATTTAGACGTATGGCCCTTTGAAAACTACTCTGGTGTTATTTTGCATATTTTAAAAATCCCTATGACTAAATTATAGAAATGATCATTTAAAAAATGTATAGAGGGGGTGTTTAGGTTTTGTCCGATCATGTTAATTAGAAGATAACCAGTATTTGTCATAATTTGCCTATCAAAATTTATAACATTCTACTTGTTTTGACAGACTGAGGTAATTTAGAACTAATTCTAATTCCTTCTTTTCTTAAAATATCTAAAATATATTTGCATTTATTAGGATGGGGAAGAAGAAATCCATTATGAAAATTTCAATAAAATCCGAGAAATTATCGAAGTTGACCGGTATATTAGCAGTCATAACATCGCCCAGTAGCTAAAAATCGACTGTTTAAACCATTTACACAAAGCTGGATTCAAAAAGTAGCTCGATGTTTGGGTGTCACATCAATTAACAGAAAAAAAATAGGATGGATCGAATTTCCATCTGCGAAGCCTTCTTGAACGGATGGTGACTGCAGATGAGAAATGGATCACATACGATAACCCTGTGCGAAAGCGATCGTGGTCAAAGAACGGCGAAGCACCTCAAACGGTGACCAAACCAGGAAGGTTCTGCTATGCATTTGGTGGGACTAAATGGAATTATTTATTATGCGTTGCTTCCATATGGCCAAAAACTAAATTCTGATCTCTATTGTCAACAACTGGACCGTTTGAAGATAGCAATTGACCAGAAACGGCCAGAATTGGCCAACAGGAGAGGTGTCGTGGTCACACACATCTACAGTGACTCGCCAGAAACTTCCGGGGCTTGATTGGGGAGTTTTAATGCATCCGCCATATAGTCCAGACTTTGCACCAAGCGATTATCATATTTTTCTTGCATTGCAATAATTCTTTAATGATAAAAATTGGTATCTAGCGAGGATTGTGAAAATCGACTACTAGAGTTTTTTTCAAATAGAGAGCTGGTCTTCTATGAGAGAGGCATTATGATGTACATTTGGTGCAAACCTTACTTGATACAAAGGCCTAGAAATCTTAAATTCGTCTTTCACATCCCAAAAAAAAATTAATTTTTGGGATGCACTATTTTTTGGATATACATATCAGTTTTAGACGGATTTGGGAAAGTCAAAACTAAATTTTTGTCAGATTTTACAAAGTGAATTAACTTGATGTACGATTATATACTCAAATTTCCGAACTATGTATATCCATGGCTTATAAGACAGAGTATCAAACCTGATATTTGGTTTAATCGGATTCACGGATTATCATTACCAAAATCAGGGCAATTTCTCTTAACTGTAATAAAATAGTGGTTCAGTGATAAAAATAAAAGTTAGTGGCGATTAAGAAGGCGATATTTTAAACGCCACTCATTTGGTGCCAAGGTCCTTTCAAAAGGTCAGGTTAGTGAATTTATTTTAATTTTTAATCTTTTTGGTCGAAAGCTTCATGGTAATATTACATTTTATACGAAAAATTAAAGTAACAAATAAAATATTTATGTTTCAAAAATGAATATTAGACGGAACATGTTTTCCTCATGTGTAGTCTCGCAATAAAAAAATATTCAATCCATTTTTAGTACAGCCAACTACTACTACTACTTTGCAACCCCTTTTTGGAGGAAATCGACAATCTAGATGTATATAGTTTTTTTTTTTTTAAGTTCGTTATAATTATAAATGCGAAACTGAAGTGCACCACTTGAGTGAGCTATGTTTTGACATTTGAAAAATATGAAAAAAAAAACAAAACTACTTAAAAAAATCAAACTCTAAAACTGTGGTTTCTGAAATTGCCGAGGAGTTATGAATGTTTGTAGCCGAAAAAAAAATTCAAATAAAATATTGGCATATTTTATTTACTATTCATTGTTACTGTTGTTGTTATTTGTGTATAAATATTGATGGGAATATTTTGCGTGGAAGTTTAAGGTAAATGTATTTCATATAAGATATATAAGTTTATATTTAGCAAACGTGAAGGGAAGATATTTTTCAGGTATTAGTGCAAGCAAAAAATAATGAAATGATGCAAGTATATACTAGAAAATACCTAATTGTAATATCAGTAACATAACCGACGGCTTCAAAAATTTGATATGAAAAATAAACGGTTTTATACGCCTTATTTTTATTGCTGTTTTATTTGTGAAATGGTCCGAATCTTTATAATAAAAAGCCCCTCTTAAAAATAACTAAAGTCCCGAACTTAATGTTTTAAGCTGCGTCCATGTCATTTAACCGACGGAGCATAGATTAGAATGAAGGACTTCAATTTAATTGGTATTTACTAATAATGGAATGTATTAGCAAATGTTTCATTAAATATTTTCAGAGCCAAGTCCTATTTAGCACAGCCAATAACTTAATATTTTTTTTTAAAGAAAACCTTTACGCATTTTCCAATTAGTACATTAACATCAACAAACTTACCTTTCCATTGTACCATACGCTTCGTAGTCTTCGTTTTGATTAACCATATTCAATATATCCTTAACTGAGAATGGAGTATTATTTAGGGAATCTGGATTGGTTATACTCCCGGGACTTGGTTGATTGTAATCGTAGTAACCTTGAGGTACTTGTGCCGACTGCTGTTGATGTTGTAACATAATGTGCGGCAATTAATTGTTAAATTCAAATTGTTCCTTCTCTTTGTGTATGTTTTTTTTTTAATATTCTTTGTATCACAAACACTTAATTGTTTCTTTTTAATATTATTTTCCTGTTTCTTTTTTTGCAGTATTTATTTTTTTTTTTTTCTTTGCAATATTCTTTTGTTCGTCACATAAGTATAATAGAACTAATAATAATAAGTATAAGCACCAACAAATAAAAACACTTGAGCACTTTAAGAGGACCAACGAACGACCGGGGCCACTTTTAGCATGAATAGCGAAATTGTTTTATTATTTTGCACTTGCGCGATATCTTCTAATTGTTCTGCGGTGGACTTGCTCTAAATTGTCAACTCAGGCGAAGAGACAAGAGTGGAGTAGTTGGAATCGATTGTAAATTTGAAGTGTCGAACGGAAGGCGGCGAGGAAGAGGAAGGAAATGCCGTTCGTCGTTTATTGAATGGCAACGCGTGCGTGTGTGTGCGCAATTTGTCAGCACATCTAAACAACTGATTGAAATTCCTTAGCACACGAGTGCCTAGTTAATTAACTGTAAAAGGCAGCAACGAAATCAGCTACCACCATCGTCGGTACCACCACCACTGCTACTACTACCATTACAACCAGCACCAGCAATTTCATTTCAATCCACCCTCTCGCAACCGAAGGCACGAACGAACAAACGAATAAGATCTCGTCCAACAACAATGTAAGCGATGCTATGCAACTGTTTCAGACTCTCAGTGTGTTTCCGTAGCAATCGAGGCGGCCATCCGACCAGCCATGTGTGTCCAACCGAACTGGTTTGGGAAAAATTAAAAATGGCTGCAACATTCAGCCACCAATGAGAGCACTTGAAACGCACACAAGCATTTGATTGTTTCTCCCCTCTTGACGAGTCAATGAATGTTTCAATTCCGATGAGTTCCACGTAGTTTGTTTAGAAATTCACACACAATCTGTACGTGTATACGTGTGTCGCTGACTGTGTAACAGCATGTAAGTGGTGTGTGTGTGTCTGTCTATTTAACTCCCATTCACTTCAAGTACACGCACTCTCTGATTGTTTGTATTTATGAATGTTTGTTGTTGCTGTTGATGGCTCTTCCTTAACGGACATAACCGTGTATTGTCGTTCGTTTCACTCATGGTCTTTAAGTGGCGCCTTTTTGTTGTTGTTGCTGTTGGTATTTTGTCGTCATAGGCTTTACTGGGATTTGTTTTTTCCCCTGGGTTTTTTTGCTTTTTTATTGATTTTACACTTCTGTGGTAATAATTGTCCTTCTTGAAACTCTTCTCAAGCACTTGTCTCAGCCTTGTTAGAGATCACAGAGATTTCGATTTGATGTTATTATGTTTTGCTCTTGTATTGGCCACTACTTGACTTCTGGTTTTCACTAATTGTCTCAATGACTTGATTGTCAAAATAATTTTCCTTTCATTGAGTATGAAGTGCGAAAATATAATGATTTTTATGCTTGCTTTATTATAATCGCAGATAATAGATTTAAAAGTGGCTATTTATTTGAAAATGTAAATGCATTTGAAGGGACAGTTGTTTAAAAATAAATTTAAATACGGAAATTGTTAGTGAAATATACAGAATTATTTGCAATTGATTTGAAATTATTTACGACAGAATCGCTGGGTCTGTTCGTAAATGCAGCACTGGATAATATGACTATTATGCGATACTTTTATGCTTTTTTATTTAAGTAATGAAAATTGTTTTTGCTAAAAATTTTTCGGGGACAAATGCGAGTATATTAATATTTACGTCTGCTTTCAATATTTTTTACACACTTTCAACATTTTTACACAATTCGCAAAGTTTTCCCATTTTTAATTATCAATTATGTCTAAAGTAATGTATATTTGAAATCACGTGAGTGACCGCTATTTTGTGGCTTTTATTTCAAAATACAGAAACCGAAGGGTCTCAATTTTGTTTACCACTGATAGTACGCTTAGAATACTACAAAATGGTATTAAGCGTGAATTGTAACTGCTATAACTTTTGCGAGCAACATTTGATTTCGAATGAGCCTATTTTCCTTAACCTATGAACCAAAAATTTAAAATTTATGAACTTATTTGAAAATTAATTCAATTGTACTTTTCGTATATTCACTATAAATTATTTGTTGAAATTTCGAATTGAAACCAGGTGTGTAAGGTGGGTAATATTCAACATAATATTGTGTAAGGGTCGTACCTAAATTCATGCGTATGCTTACAATTTCATTCACCTCAAAAGTTAAATACATTTATTTGAATGAATGTTACCAAAATACACATTGCGTATAAAAATATTAAGTTGAAAATTTTCAACATTGACAATGCGTTTTCATTGAAAAATTTGTTATTTTACAACAATAAGTGTAAAAAGTGTGATTTAAGAAGAAGAACAACAAAATTAAAATTTTGTATTAAAAAATTTTAAAAATTTTAAAAAATGTATTAAAAAAAATAATAATTGATATTGATGTATGTCAAACCACCACAAAAAAGTGGATCATTCAGAATTGTAGACGGCAAGAACATTTATGTCTAGATGATTTGCTACACAGAGAACTGGTCAGCCATTCCTAAAGCCTTAGGATAATTTTGAAACATCCAGAAATAAGTTTTATAAGTTTTTTGAATAAAAAAAATTGTGGTGCCAAGGCTATATACAATTATTTTATGGAACGGTCTACACTGCTATATAAAGAATGTATTGTACTACAGTAATCTTAGCACCCATTTAATTGCTCTACTAACGATGAGACTTTTTGTTCTAGTTTGGAGTGTGAATATATAAATGAAAATATACACTATTAAAAAATTTAATTAAACAATTATTATTACATCATCCACAGATGACGATGGCCAATGCATTTCATATCTATGGCTGAAAGGCGAACCTACGAATATAGAACCCAACATTTATTTTGTCACATTACTGTTACAATTACTTTTTTATTATATTTAATACTAAATATCCTAAAGATATATACAAAATTAATTTAGAGTGTACCTTAAAACATATAAAACATATGGTCTGTTCCCGTACTGCAAGAACCTACGAGTTTTTACTATTTTTTCCAATATCATAAAGGAAAAAAGTGTTATTGTAGTAAAAAAATAGTAGATTCTTGCAGTACGGGAACAGACCAATAGGTATACATTTTGTTCAATTCGAATCACTCTCTGAATAACAAAGAATTTTGACCCATAACTAACAATTGAGAGAATATATCGAAAATAAATTAGTTTTGACAGCATGAAAATATTTTTAAAATTTTCAAACTTTTTCAGTAAAATTGAAAATGATGAATGAAAAGTAAAAAATTTTCTTATTTTTATATATGCAAGTAATTTTTGTAATCAACATAATGCAACGTGCCTTTCTTTCCCTTTGGTTCTACTTAACGTATAACAGCCTTACCTAAAATTCAACTCGTTCGTTCGACGTTTTTCACCACAAAAGTAGAACACGTGTATTTATATGAATGTTACCGAAATACGCCGAACGTACAAAATTTCATGTTGAAAATTTTCAACTTTGACAGAACGTATTTTTCATTCAGGAAATTTGAAATTTCGAATGATAACTAAAAATATGTGGATTAATTAATCCACCTAAATTTATTATAAAATATAAATTAATCCAATAAATTTTCAATTTAGTTTTGCGGGTTGTATTATTTGCTTGCAGATATGTATTCGACATATTTGGGTAATACGGCCGTACACAACATTTTGCCATAGTGAGGAAGTTTAATATTTTTACGCCCCGTCGGATTTAAGGTAACGTTGTAAAACGAGAAAGAAATGTGGGGAAAGTCAAACAAAAATTCTCCAATTTTTTATATGTGACATTTTACAATTGCGAAAATATGAAAATTTATTTAAAACTACAATATTTTCAGAAAAAATGGAAAACATGAATTAAAAGTAAATAGATAATTCTGAGAGCGAACTACGTTGTTCGAGTGCCGTCAGAACATGGCTTTATAGTGAACATATTTCCTGGTTCCGATGTTTTAAGACATATTTTTCATACAAATATTTACTCTTGTAGCGAATTACGGATATAGCGAACTTTTTTATAACGAACTATTTATTCGGTCCCATCTTTCAGTTTTCATTTATTTTAATTCGGTTATAACGAACTTGCCATAAATATACAAAATACTTAACGATAACAAACTTGCTCAAAAATTAATTTATAGCTATCGCTGGCAACCTTCACAAATATCTCAGGCTCATCAAATGAAAAGAGAACCAGCTAAAGTATTGCCAAAAAGGACACAAAAATTACATATTTTGGAACTTACTTTTTTTCTGCTAATCCTTGAATTTGCCTGGATATAACGAACTTTGTCTATAACAAACTAATTTGCTCGGGCCCTACTAGTTCGCTATAACGGTACTTTAATGTATAAAGGATCTCGGCTGATTTTAAGTATTTTGATTTTCCACCTTATGTGGAGGTCAAATTCGACCCGGCAGAACTTAACGACATTATTATTGTTTTATTATTATTTACTATCATTTCCCGCGTCTTTTATAATAAATATGAAAAAATAATAATAATTGAGCAATTAGGGGGAAAATAATAACATTGGTTAAAAATACATATGAACACACAATAATAAGAACAGAATACTGCACGCATACTTTCAATATCTGTAAAATAAAACAAATATTGCATGCGGCAAAAATGTCAATGTTATATTCGCTCATGTGATCAGGCTTAATGATGTGCATGAACAAACTATGTACGTTACGTGTCACACTAATCGCAGCCAAATTACCCCCACTGCAACAGCCAATCAACATCGAGCTTCTAAAATTTTAGTACACAACATACAGACAAATTCTTCGTTAAATTTGTTAGAGTTACCAACTGTATATACAAAAACAAGTATTGCCATTTTGTTTTCTATATTACAGATGCATTTTTTAGGTTGTGTACACATAATGGAATCTTACAAATATTTTTGCAAAGGAGTAATGATTTAATAGTGTTGAAATATTTCCCGGTAATTCAATTAATGTCGCTGCATATTTTTTTTAAGAATTCCAATAACAACAACGCTTACATACATGGCAAATTAATGAAGGTAAAATTACTTGACGAAATTAACAAAAACTGTAGTAAGGTATAATGCTTTATTTATTATATATTTTTTTATAATTTTATTAAATAAGGAAAATACCGAGAAAAATGAATGCTGTCAAGTTATTTTCATAATATAATAAGATTATAATAATATTTATTTCCAAATACTCTGAATGCTGTAATGTTGGATTTTACATTAACTTACCTCTTGTTATTATACCATAGAAATCAATTCTCTTCATACCTGTGTTGATGTACGTTTACAGGGAACGTGTTCAAAGATAAAGGTTTTATCAACATGGTCATTTATTTGATATATAAAGAAAGGAAATGCAACTCCAACAAAAATTAAATTATGATTTATCATAAAACACAATTATATATACATTTTTTTATTCTTTGTTCACCAAAGAATAAAAAATCAAATAAAAGTAAAATGAAAATTGTAAATAATGTTGGTGAACAATACGAAAATAACAAAACATTTTAAACATAAACATAAAGCTAAACATTTTTCCATTCAAGTTTAGTAAAAATTATATATATTTTGTCCTAAAAAAAAGACAAATGTTAACAAAAACTCTTCATGTAAAGGTCCCTTCATTTCTTTAGAGCAAGTAACAGGGTTGTATTTTCTGGGTATTATTTCAATTACTGAGTAACCACTACTCGTTGTAGTTAAGTGCATGTATAGTAAAATGGCGACTTAACGAAACTCGATACACAAAATACGGGCATCATCGTCTCATTCATTCGTAGAAAATTGTCGTGAGCATATCGTCGTACCGCTAAAGAAAATATTGAAGATTATAGAATTTTCTATTTTTTACTAATAGAAAAAAAGGTTAACTAAAATATTTTATTGTAAGTATTTTATGTTATAAAAATGTGTACTAAATTTAAGCAAATAAAGTGAGTGAAGAAATGTTGAAACTATAAACACATATAGTTATGGTTGCATATTATACCTAATTGAAAAAATGCTCACATTTTATTTTGCTTAAAAATGTTCAATTTCGATGGTATCGAATTTGTTTATTGATGATCATTTTTATTTCATATATTTCCAGTTGAAGTGTGAGAACAAATAAAAGCAGATTTGGGTACGCTACAGTAAATAGTGTTACCTTACAATATGGCGGACGACGAGCAGTTCTCGTTGTGCTGGAACAATTTTAATAGCAATTTGTCAGCGGGTTTCCATGAATCGCTGTGCCGTGGTGATCTGGTGGATGTGACGCTGGCGGCAGAGGGGCAGTTTGTCAAGGCTCATCGTCTTGTTTTGTCCGTCTGTTCGCCCTATTTTCGCAAGATGTTCACTCAAATGCCAGCCAATCAACATGCCTTTGGTAAGTGTTTTGTTTAAGTAAATTTACTTGGCAGAAAAAAATAATGGTTTTCTCTTTTTTCCCCCATGTAGTTTTTCTAAAGGATGTAAGCCACACGGCTCTAAAAGATCTCATCCAATTTATGTATTGTGGAGAGGTGAATGTAAAGCAGGAGGCACTACCAGCTTTTATAAGTACAGCAGAGGCTCTACAAATCAAAGGCTTAACAGATGTAAGTACTGCAACGAATACAGACAGACGTCTTGTAGACACACATTTTTTGTTGGTCGGTTGGTTTTGTTTTTATTTCAATTCTGTTTTGGCTAGAATGTTCGTTTTTCGTTTCGTTTTATAAATGTGTATCATTTTACCGCGCTTTTGGTGCTTGATTCTGCAACTTCGTGGTGGTTGCGTGGGTTTGTGTGTTTAGTCAAACATAGTTGGGTACGATGTGTGTGTATATGTGTTTATTGATTTTGCGTCGAAGCGCAACTGTACATACAGTACAGAATATTTGTGTGTATAATTAAGGTCCCTTGCAGTGTTATTGGGGTAGAAATTTGAAATACCCTTTTTAGGAATTCTATTTGTTTTTAAAATGTGCGATAGTATGTATCAATAGTTTAATATAACCCGTACACATATATTTTACTGCATTTTCTATAACAAACGCTATGAGCATCATGTCCTCAAGCAGATGAAGCCGTTTTATACATGTTATATTCAGGTAAATATGCTCCATAGCTGAAATGTAGATTATTTAAAAATAATAATAAAATGAGTACAGATACACTACTTTGCAAACATTGTCGACGGTCAGTATTTTTATTTTCTTTCAAAACAAGTTTTTGGGTCAGTTGAGAATTTTCACTTGTCAGTATTCAAGTATTAAGGTAAGAGTTCTGTAAATTAATGTGATTTTAATGTATACCGTACTTTTGTTTAACAGTTTCGTACTTGTATTATAATCCATCATTAAAAAAAGTAATTTATTTCGCTTACGATTTGGGCAAACTGGTATCCATCCTACTATCGACAGGATAATCTATAATCGGAAAATAATTAAAATTTGGGAATACGTCTTCAATTTTAAAATAAATTTATTGTAAATGAATCCAATCCTTGCAACAAATTATTATGTTGGTTTGTTTCTTGTTTTAGTCCCCATGTAATCATACCAACTGATTTGTATGCCTTCGCTACATTTTCCATTATAGAGGATTTTCAATATGTATATTTTAAATTGTCAGAACTTAATTTTAAATCAGAAAACCTAAAGCATTGTATTGACATTTCTTTTACAATTCTTGTACGAAAAATCTAATGGTTTTTGGATATTATGGCAGATCTTATAGTTCTGATCCAGCAATTTCACTCGTTATTGGTAACTACAATTATTTACCTCCCAATCTATACTCAAGGTCCCTTATTTTGGTAGTCTTCCAACTTCAGACTTTTGTATATATGTAGCAATATAGGTTGTGCGACAATAAAAACTAATTTCTCGATTTCGATTCATATGCACATTTTAATTATCCTTTTTTCCATTTTTTAAATCTTTTCAGAGTGATCCTCCACAATCTCAAACACCTCCTGAACCCTCAACACCCACGCCGCAAATTCAGCCCCAACAAATACAAAATCCGGCACGGGTGCGGCAACGTACTTCAACGGCCCGATCATATAAAATAGAAACAGTTGACGATTCCGGCGACGATTCAAAACAAACGACACAAATAGTCATTCAAACAACAGCGCCAAACCACCCACCACAGGCAACAATAACGACGCAGGCACCCCAGCAACAACATCATCACCACCATCAGCAGCAACAGCCTCCCCAACAACAGCATATTCAACAGCAGCCAATGCAAACGCAAACTCACCAATTGACCAGCGTTAGCTTACCAACGGCCACGACTACAACAACAGCCGTAGTAGCACATAAACGACCCGCCCAACGTACAAATCTTGGTAGTGTGCCGCACATTAAGAGAACCAAGAGCACAATCGATCCTCTAGAGGCTTCAGACGCTAGCGTTGCAACACAACAAATCAATGTACAAACCGCTGTGGTGACGTCCGATGTGACCAAATCCCAGGCACAACACCACCATCAGCAGCAACAACATCAAACACAATCGCACCACCATCATCAACAGCAGTCCCAGCCTCAGCAACAGAGCAATGAGCCCGAATACATTGACTTGCCCATAGAATTGCCGACCAAATCTGAACCGGACTATGTTGAAGATGCTGGCGATGTGGACCAAGGCGAACAAGATGGTACCTATGTGGAGGACGAGTCATACGGTGATATGCGTTACGATGAAAGTTATTTCACAGAGGGTGAGGACGCTGCTGGTGGACATGCGGCGACGGGAGGAACAACGAATACAAGTGCCACGGCTACCACTTCAAAGGCTATCATTAAATCACAACCTCTCTCCGATTCGTCGTACATGGATACAACAGGAGATCAAGGAAACAGTGATGCACAAGGTTGGTTGACATTCCTTAAAAACACACACGGATCTAATGTTTTCCCCCAAAACGCTTGAGCGCTAGTCGCCAGTGTATTTGTTGTGAAAACATTTATATTTGTGTGCAATTAAAAGAAGTATATTATTTCCTAGTCATAAGCAAATGGTGGTTCAGGGTTGGTTAAGGAGATCAAAGTAAAGCTTTTCTGTGATTGAAAAAGTATTCGCTGCTTTGATCTTCTTCCCCTATTCCAAATTTGGTTGGTTTGAATTTGATTTGGTTACAACATTATGCTTTACAGAAGATGGACGCGTAAGTCTTCCTTTAAAAAGATAAATGTTTGTTATTAAATTAAGTTCAAAACCGCCGAATTAGTCTAAAAAAATTGCGTTAAAAAACAGAAAAAGTATAATACGCGCGTGAATATACTTTTCATTTCGAGCAAGTGTCCTTCGATCCACAGAAATAGATTACATATATTTTTTATATGTATGTATAATATATTTCTGTGGAGAAAGTGTTACTGACTCGGCTCGTCTTTATTTTGATAACAAGAATTTTGCATTTTCTATCGATAGAGGTCTTCCATTCAATTTTCAACAAAATGAAAATTTTCGAAGTGGCCTTTTCGAAAATATTGACTTTGTAAAAATTGGATTTCAGATCTTTTACACTATTAAATACAATGTTCTATCAAAATGAAGAAGATTTGTGTAAAATAAGATTGCTAATGACATATTTTCGTTGAAGTGGTGTCAGCGATCATTTTCGATTTTAAGTGGTGAAAAAAAAAATTTTTATATAATACTGTGTAATAATTAAATAACAAAGGTAAGTAAAAATGGACATTATTAAAAAAATACAAATTGAATTATCAAAAGGGGTAAAGATAATTGTATTCACATGTGAATTGTAACTTTAAAAGGTTTAAATTAACCATTGTTTTGGCTTCTTTTTTTAAACCGAACTGAACAAATTTGTTTCGAAAATTAAATTGTGTTAGAGCTCAATTTCCTTCGGCGAATCGTCCGTTCCTCGTAAAATCGTTTCAGTTGGTCGGGGGGGACTTGTCGGAAATGTCGAGATTTTTTTTGTCGGTTGTAAAGCGCGTGCAATATCCGTTTGTATTATTTAGTATAGAAAAATGGGCTTTAACATAATGAACATTGTTTAAAATTAATTACCATCGAAGTTAAAACAATGTTTGGGGTTACAAATACAATTGATTAATATACAATTATTTTCTATTCAAGTTGAAATAAAAAGTACACCAAGAGAAAGGTTTACGGAATTTTTCTATTCATATAAAAGATGTTGCTCTATGCAACGGCAGTTACTGACTGCCGAGTCTTACATTTGGTAGGTGGGTAAAAACAATTGGTATTTATTAAAGGTCTTAATGTAGTTGTGTTAGAAATAACAAGAAAAAAAAATAGTGAGCAAAGTAGGTGAAATATACCTATAAAACCATACAAAATAGTCAAAATTCGCATTAGGAGTTAATTTGTTTGCATTCAAACGTGCACACTCATTGAATAGTGTTTTCGGTCGTATGAGGAGCTTTAGGATTGGCATGTTAAGTTGACTTAGTACATTTAACCGGATTTCATTAATCCAGTAGGTTTCAATAACAATGCCTGAATCCTTGTATGTGTTTCCCCTTTAAACGCGGTTTAAAGAGGGAAATATACAAGAATTCAGACTTGATAAATTGACTGTATAAATGACAATTTAGGAATATCGGAGCCAAACTTGATCAGCCTTATTCTAGATGTCAATTCCATGTGAATTTACTCGCTCTTTCCCTTCGCCTTATTCTGAACAACATTTTCCAGTGAATTTTTCCGCATTCTCGCTTTCGCCTTATTCTGAATGAAGTTCGAAAGCGAAAAAATCCGCTTTGGCGAAAAATTAGGTATTCTGAATTACAGATGAGATGAAATTTTGTGCGAAATTTTTCGCTAATAAATTTAAGGGGAGTTGACTACAAAAACATAAGTAATAACTATTTTTATGAAAAATATTTACACAATACTTATTCTATGACGATTTAGAATATTATAAATGATAGTAAGCAAATTTTTAACTGGAAAACAGCCAATAAAATGCCATTGGAAATCCTATATAACGATGCATGCTGCCAAAGAATGTATGAAGGTAATAAGGAATATTTAAGTCGAGTTTGATGCATTTTGGAGGCGAAATACAGACATTTGTGTGAGGATCTGTCTCTCAAGAAAAACATTTTAAAAATTATGGAAAAACCTAATTTGCCTGATGAGCCGCTTAAGAGTGAAAAACTGATATAAAAATTATGAAAGAACAAAAAATATTTTTTTTTCAAAATTATCGTGTGCATGATTTGAAGGAACAAATAAAGGAGTAGCAGCAAATCATAACATAACTGACCACTTTAAGAATTTGGGGAGATAAAATATCAAAATTAAATAAAAAGGCACACAATTATGTAGTGAAATAATAAACTGTGAATTAATTAATTAAATCGCAGATTTCTTCCTATTATTCGTTGTGTTTTTGCCATCATAAAAAAATGTTCTTTTATTTGTAATCTATTGTAGTTGTTGCAACAAATTGCATCAAAACAATGAACAGCTGTTTCACATGCCATATTGTAGGTTGCCATATTTTCAAACTTTAATTTATTTTCTTTTAATTACAAAGCATTTATACAGCGGATTCTTGATATTTCACATTTGTATTGCTATAAAGTTTAAATAACAATAAAAGGTAACAATTTTTAATAACAAAAATCAATAAATAATATATTGAAAAATATTACACAATTAAATTACAATGGGGCAACACACATTGCAACTTAAATTACAATATGGCCACACACAGCGCAACTTAATTTACGATATGGCAACACGAATCTTTTTTTCAACCACCATTTTCGAAAACTCGAATCTGCATCTCGCATTTTTTGCGTCTCCCTATTCATTCAGAATAAGGCGAGAATGTGAAAGCGAAAAATTTTTTATATGCGAGATATCTCCCAGCGAATATCCAGAATAAGGCTGGATTTTTTTTATTATTATTAAATCATTTTGTAATGAAAAGCCTAAGGGGCCAATAAATTATTACAATATGCTTCGAATAGTAATTTGTAAATTAACATTTAAATTATTAGAACTTAAAGGTGAATAATATCTAATTAGGAAAAAATACATAACTTCATAAGAGAAGAACTACTCCTATTAATACCTCGCTTGCGAAGTCATAGAAAAAAAACTAAAAACGCTCCCAACTATAATATCAGCGGCAATTACAGCCTCAAAATATAAGTATTTTTTAAGGTAGATAAAGATAGCATAGAATATTATTCTGCTGCTCCTTGCAATAAGACAAGAAGCTTATTTCGGTATGATGAAATGGTTACATTAAACCTTTTTAAGTTGTTAGGTAGTGTATTGAATAAACGTGACACTCTAACAAGAAATTATCTGTCCATGTGAACGTCCAATCTTGGAATTGTTAGATTGGTGTTTCTAGTGGATCTTGAAAAAATAAAGGAACTCGCCAAAAAAGAGGGACATTGATATTTGCATATTTTATAGAATAAGGAAAGACATCGGATATTAATAAAATTAGTAAATGAAGATCCTATAAAACGGTGAACGAACGAAGAAATGTGATAACGGTTAACACCATAAACATATCTGACAACGCTATTAAAATCCTTTTGAACTCGCTCCATATTATGCATGTTAGCACCAGAATATACCTCAAGACAGTAGAGGATGTTCGGCATTACAATAGCATTGGCCATTTTCACCTTAAAATGGTGAGGTAGAAAAAGGTCACAATTGTACAGCCTTCTCAGTGCCATGTTCTCTCGAGAGACTACTCTATCAATATGTCTTGCAAAATTAATTTATTGTCTATAAGTACTCCTAGAATCTCCAAAACCTCAAAAAATTGTATAGGAATTTCATTATACTTTAAATCCATTTTGGATTTTGGAAACCTTTATTCTTTTACAAACCAACTTGCCATGCATGAACGTGCTCTTGTGTGTTTCCTCCTTTACCCAGCAAAAAGTTCTTGTGTAAATGCCATTTTAGACTACTATATCGATTTCAGCATCAATTCTTTGACGTTCACAAATTTGGTGGATTATAATTGACATTCGAATGGACTTCGTAAATCTTAACGTACTTTTAACCATGGTACGTAAAAAAAAGTGACTGTGTTGGCTTTGGCTTCTGCTAAATATACGCAACAAGTGATTACACAACTAAAAACGCGAAAAATGAATGAAAGGTTATCAGACTTATTCTGGATGTCAATTCCACGTGTATTTACTCGATTTTCCCCTTCGTCTTATTCTGAACAACATTTTTGTGTGCATTTTTTCGCATTCTCGCTTCGCTTTCGCTTTATTCTGAATGAAGTTCGAAAGCGAAAAAATCCACTTTGGGGAAAAATTAGGTATTTTGGATTACAGGCAGTAGGAGAATGAGATGAAATTTTTCGCAAATAAATTCAGAGTGAGTTGACTAAAAAACATAAGTAATAAATATTTTTATGAAAAATTTTAACACTACACTTATTCTATGACGATTTAGAATATTTTAAATGATAGTAAGCAAATATTTATCTGGAAAACAGCAAATAGAATGCATTTGGAAATCCTATTGATAATGATGCATGCTGAACCAAATATTGCCAAGGAATGTACAAAGGTAATACTGAATATTTAAGTCGAGTTTGATGCATTTTGGAGGCGAAAAACAGAGATTTTGGGTGAGGATCTGTCTCTCAAGAAAAAAATATAGAAAAACCAAATTTGCCTAATGAGCCGCTTAACAGTGAAAAACTTAAATAAAAATTATGAAACAACACAAAAAAAACTACATTTTTTTTTAAATTATCGTTTGCATTATTTGGAGGAAGAAATAAAGGAGTTGGAACATAACAGGTCACTTTAAGAATTTGTAGAGATAAAATATCGAAATTAAATGCCTGTGTTTTTGCCATCATAAAAAATGTTATTT